CATCGGCCAAATTCGGTCAACCTGGTCAAAATCATGTTTTGGATGAAACTTATTTGGTTTTGAGACTTAAAGGACCAAGTGTCTACAAAATTCTTGAGGGGCCAAGGTTATAATTTTGGGGAACTTCAGGAACCAAAAACATATTTTTCTCTTTTAAAAATCAAAATCTTGAATTTTAAAAAAAGGAATTTCACAAAAGTTGAAGAATTTTAAAAAATGTTCCCGGATTTCAAGAGATGTTCATGAATTTGATAAATATTCTCGAAATTCAAAAAGTGTTCTGAATTTCCTAATATCCACAATTTTTTTTAAAAAAAATCTGCCTAAAATAGTTGCAAACAAAGGACACATGAGTGAGGCAGGCCGGCAGCTGCGTGGCAGACGGTATCATAAACCCTAGCGCTGGTTTTCCTTGCGTGCGTAGGAGCGAAGAGGTACGCACGCCTGAGGACAATTGTTTTATAGTATAATGTTTACGCGGATTTGAAAATAGCAAAAAGAACACACATTGTTTGCTATAAGAGTTTCATGAATTTGTCCTTTTTGCGCAGCTCACATGGTTATGTATTTCTTAATGAAATTTCACACACACACAAACAATACGTATACTCACATGTGGAAAAAAAATCAGAATTTTGAACATATTTAAACCGTGTATGATTTTGAATTAACCAAACTTGAAAATGGGATACTTAATTAAAAAAGTTATGTACAAATGTCAAAAATAAAGGAAAAAAATAAAAAGAAAAATAGGAAATTAAAAGGGAAATTAAAAGAAGAAACAAAGACCAAAGAAAATCTACTAAAATGAAATATGGACCATGAACCTTCTAGAAGGTTTCCAAAGCCGGTCAGGAACCATATAGAATGTTGCCAATTCCGGTCAGCACCTCTCCCAGCGGTTCGGCGGTCACGTCGCTGCGGTAACTAATGGGTTGGCCAATCTTCCACTGCTTGCGGGTGATTCAAAGCTTAACACTCACAAAAGCGATACATAACGATTGTGTTGAAGGATAGCCTCCGAACACGCCCCAAACCCCCCACCCCATGCGTGCTTTTGGTCAACCCACACGCGGGGTGCCCATTCTTTCCTTCTGTTTTTTCATTGTTTTTTATTTATTTCTTTCTATGTTTTTCATTTCTGTTTTTTTTTTCTGTTCCTTTAGAAATATTCTGGGTTTTCTAAAGAGAAAATTAAGTTTTTGGTCCCTTAATTTTCCAAATGTATAGACTTGGTCCCTCAAGATTTTTTATAATAGACATTTGGTCCCTTAGGTATCAAATTTCGATGACTTTGGCCCAAACCAGATTTTGAGCACGTTGGCCGTGTTTGAGCTGGTTTGACAATGTTTTCAAGGTTTGACTAATGAATAGTAAATTCAAAGAAATTAGCAAACAAAATCGAGAAAAATTTGAAATTTTGTGGCAACGAAGATGCTTGGTTGCGCTAGCTGCGTATAAATTTTTGTGGTTAAATACCATGTGAGGAGCGCTAGCAAAAAACCAAATTTAGGTTTCTTTTTTGTTAGGAAATTTTTTTTGTCGTGAGATCCACGAATGTCGAAACACCACAAAAAAATTTAGGCACCTAGAGCACCCAGCATCTTGGTTGCCACAAAATTTAAGTTTTTTTTCTAATCTTTTTGCATTTTTTGGAATTTATTTTTTAAAGGCCAAATTCGGTCAACTTGGTTAAAATCATGTTTGGATGAAACTTATTCGGTTTGAAGACTTAAAGGACAAAGTGTCTTCTGAAAAATATTGAGGGGCCAAGGTTATAATTTTGGGGAACTTCAGGAACCAAAAACATATTTTTTCTCTTTAATAAAAAATCAAAAACATGATTTTTTTAAAAGGAATTTCATAAAAGTTGAAGAATTTTAAAAAATGTTCCTAATTTTCAAGAGATGTTCATAAATTTGTAAAATATTCTCGGAATTCAAACAGTGTTCTGAATTTCCTAAATATCCACAATTTTTTAAAAAAAATTGCCTAAAATAATTGCAAACAAAGGCCACATGAGATGAGGCAGGTTGGCAGCTGCGTGGAAGAAGGTATCAGAAACCCTAGTGCTGGTTTTCATTGCATGCGTAGGAGCGAAGAGGTACGCACGCTTGAGGACAATTGTTTTATAGTATACATGTTTACGCGGATTTGAAAATAGCAAACAGAACACACATTGTTTGCTATAAGAGTTTCATGGATTTGTCCTTTTTGTGCAACTCACATGGTTAGGTAGTTCTTAATAAAATTTTACACACACAAAGAATACGTATACTCACTGTTCAAAAAAGCTTCCGATTCAGCCATTAATTTTCCGATTTATCGCTAATCGTGGGCTGACCGATAAGATTATGCCTTATCTTCACCATTTATCTTTTGGACCGATTTATCGCTCTGACAAGTGATTTATCGGGAATCCACCGATAAATCAGACCTATTCATAGCATTATATTTGCAAAACTTATGTTTATTTATGTTTTGTGGACCATGTTACACAATATTTATTGTTGTCCTATTTTGTTTGTCATTATACAAGGAATCAAAGGCTAGGAATCAAGGTAACACTTCTGTCCAATATTGTTTGGGTGTTGAATATAGCGTATTTTAGTGTTGGGAACCTGAGATTTGCCCAAAAAAAATCCGATTAATAGTCGACCGATAAAAATCGATTAATCAGCCGATTTCCGAATCCCTGGCTGACTGAGACGATAACGATAAGAGATATCTTCAACATTGTGTATACTTACATGTGGAAAAAAATCAGAAGTTTGAACATATTTTAAACCGTGTATGATTTTGAATTAACCAGACTTGAAAATGGGATATTTATCAAAAAAATATTTACGTATGTCAAAAATAAAGGAAAATAAAAATAAAAATAGGAAATAAAAAGAAGAAACAAAAAACAAAGGAAATATACTAAAAGGAAATATGGACCGTGAACCTTCTAGAAGGTTCCCAAAGCCTAGAATGTTGCTAATTCCGGTTAGCACCTCTCCTAGCGGTTCGATGATCAAGTTGCTACGGTAACTAATGGGTCGGCCAATCTTCCACTGCTTGTGGGTGATTCAAAGCTTAACACTCACAAAAGGCGATACATAACGATTGTGCCGGAGGATAGCCTGCGAACATGCCCCCAACCCCACCCCAAGCGTGCTTTGGGTCAACCCACACGCGGGGCGCCCATACTTTCCTTCGGCTTTTTCATTTTTTTTCTATTTCTCTCTATGTTTTTCATTTATGTTTTTCTTCTGTGTCTTCTTTAAAAAATATTTGGTGTTTTTAAAAGAGAAAAGTATGTTTTTGGTCCCTTAGTTTTTCAAAAGTATAGACTTGGTCCCTCAAGATTTTTTGGTAGACATTTGGTCCCTTAAATCTCAAAACCGGATGACTTTGGCCCAAAACCAGATTTTGAGCACGTTGACCATGTTTGACCAGGTTTGAAATGTTGACCAGGTTTGACGATGAACAGTAAATTCAAAGGAATTAGGAAACAAATTCAAGAAAAACTGAAATTTTGTGGCAACCAAGATACTTGGGTGCGCTAGCTGCGTGTAAATTTTTGTGGTTAACTACCATATGAGGAGCTCTAGCAAAAAAAACAATTGTTGGCTTTTTATGTGAGCCAAAATTTAGTTTTTTTGTCACGAGCTCCGTGAAATGTCGAATCACCACACAAATTTCCATGCACCTAGAACACCCAAGCATCTTGGTTGCCACAATTTTTTGTTTTTTCTAAATTTTATTGCTATTTTTCGGAATTTACTTTTCATCGGCCAAATTCGGTCAACATGGTCAAAATCTTGTTTTGGAAGAAACTTATCCAATTTTGAGACTTAAAGGACCAAGTGTCTACTCAAAAATCCTGAGGGACCAAGGTTATAATTTTGGGGAACTTCAGGAACCAAAAACATACTTTTCTCCTTTAAAAAAATTCAAAATCATGAATTTGAAAAAAAGAATCACCAAAGTTCGAGAATTTGAAAAAATGTTCCCGGATTTCAAGAGATGTTCATGAATTTGAAAAATATTCTTAGATTTCAAACAGTGTTTTGTATTTTCCAAATATCCACAAATTTGAAAAAAAAATATGTCTAAAATAGTTGCAAACAAAGGCCACATGAGATGAGACAGGCCGACAGCTGCGTGGCAGAAGGCATCAGAAACCTAGCGCTAGTTGTCCTTGCATGCGTAGAAGCGAAGAGGTATGCATGCCCGAGGACAATTGTTTTATAGTGTTCATGTTTAAAGAGCAAATACGTGAATTTAAAAATAGCAAACAGAACACACATTGTTTGCTATGAGAGTTTCATGAATTTGTCCTTTTTGCGCAGCTCACATGGTAACTAATTTCTTCATGACATTTCACACACAGAGAGCACACGTATACTTACATGTGAAAAATCAGAATTTTGAAATTTAAGAAAGTACAAAATTCAATTTTTTCAAAAAATATGTCCACAATCCGCTTGATGTTCTTTTTTACTAATACCTCTAATTCAGCCTATCTGTAATAGTTAGAATGTAGCTTTAGACTCCAACACAGTTTTACTGAAGATGTACAAACAAAAGCAACTTGATAGCGTCGCAAATTTTTGAACTACAATCTGAACTAGCATACCATTGCCTGCATAAACTAAACAGATTCTCAGTTTCTTAACATGACCAAACACTCAATTTTATTAGCTCGACTCACGGTGGTATTGTCCGATTTTCATGATCAAGCCTCGTCGATTCGCTATGAGGGTTTCGGACACAGACCACACTGTTCAACATTTGTCACCAACAAGTTGAGTCCAAAGACGCACAAACATCAGACTAGACGACCATCTTCATCATCACGACCAGCAGTCACAGTCAATTAAGTACATGACCAAATCATTTGAGAATGAAGGGCATCTCTATTTCTCCAGGACTACAACAGACACATTCCATCCGGTTTGGTAGGTCGCCACAACCCCAATGGGAAGAAACCCTCATAGATGTTCGCCACCACGCTACCGCCTCTGTACCGGCTTGTAGAGCACGACGGTCACATACTTGGCCTTGAAACGGTGGGTGATCCCCAGGGCAACCACGGATCTCGAGTTCTCCTTCTCTATGTAGAGGTGGTTGAGCACCACGGGTTGGGGCAGAGGGAGGCTGCTCCCATCGTCATGGCTCGGCGGGAAGCTCAGCAGTGTATGCTGCAGGTGAGGAGGAACCAATGGGGGCTCTCGAGCTTCGTCTTCGTTTCCAGGGATAGGGTTGCTGTAGCTTGAGTCTGGTGATGATGGGACTTCGAATCCAACAACTTGCACCCCTTCCTGCACCCATACCCAAGTTATGTATGTTAACCACCCATCATATGTACAAACATGATAGAGACAGCAGTTTAGAAAAGAAAGAAAGCGATCAATGTACTTACATGGTCATCCCTGCCTTGTCGGTGGTCCATATTGCAGCAAGACTCTGTTCTGTTGCCTATCCTCATAAACGAGTATATGAAAAATGTTGACGTGAGTAATGAATTTTAGTAACTAAATAAATCAAGAGCTGAAATAAATATCACAGATAATGACTCTAAATCGCATACAAGAATCATTCATTGAATGAAATTTGCACATTATGTATTTCTATAATGCACTACATGCAGAAGAAACTTCTGATTTTTGCATGAACTAAATCGATCTGAGTCACCATAGAAAACAAAATCTAGCAGTAAACTAATTACACATTTAATCAATGGAATTTTCCCAGTAAGTAGATTTGTATTCAAACTGCTCTGCTCCAACAGAGAGTGGGAGAGCATGCTGGTATGCTAAGTTGCTAACCGATTTCAGTGTAAAACAGGAATCCAATAGTTTCGCTTCAAAACTGCTCTGTACTTACGAAGGGTACAATTGATTATACTGGCAAAGTGGCAAAGGTTTCAACTACAAAAATGAATTCAAACGGAGTAACTCGGCCCAAGGTAAATAGTTGGAACTACAACGTAGTCAATGCAGGCAGAAAATGAAACAAGACAACTTTGTTTCTGCAAAATTATTAACAATAATAAACGGTTAGGAACTCACTCTTAACGATATTATACATTCAGATATAAACTAAAGAAAACTCCTAATTTCCACCGCAGCATGCTGCCTTATCAAACTCTTTTCCTCCTATACTTCACTGGATTAGCATGACAAAGAGATCCGTCATAGCCGGTTTATTTTGTTGGTAAGAAAGCCAAAGTTGCTTTGATTGTTTTCACTCTGATCTGGTTCTGCAAACAATGAATTAATATCTTCCTTGCCTATACTACATCAGGTTGTGTTGAATTGTCCATTTCTTAATAAAAAAATCACTGGTAAAATTTAACGTGCGATGGAAATCAAGGTACATCCCGCCTCTCCACACAGCCTGAACATTTGTGCTCATTTGGTCTCCCAATTTCCCCATACTGTAGTGTAGCAGGTACTTAGGCCTGTTGGATCAGAACAGAGCACTAGATTGATAGCACGAGCGCATGGTTTGGCTGCTGCTTCATGTCAAAGCAGCAGAAAGGACAAGTATTGTGACAGCTCAACCCAGGGTCTTGGGTACAGTTTCAATAATATTACGGGGGCTTGGGAATTTACTGCCAAATAGTTTCAAACAAATTATTAAATTCAAAATCTCAAGTCAAGCAAGAACTAGAGGGCATACCAGAAAAACAGAGCAACACTTTCATCATGGTGGTTGGAGCCCTGCTCCTTGGGTTGACCATTGCGGGTTCAATCAGTTGATGCTACATTTATCAATTTAGTAATATTCTCTAAATTACTACCTGGGGATGGGGCCTACATGCAGCTTCTGAACATGTTTTGCGTACACAATAAAAAAGGGCAGCCCGGTGCACATAGCTCCCACTTGCGCAGGGTCCAGGGAAGGGTCTGACCACTTTGGGTGTTTTGTACGCAGCCTTTCCCTGCATTTCGGCAAGATGCTGTTTCCAGGACTCGATCCCATGACCATTGTTGGGTACACAATGGTAGCACAAAATCGATGTGCAGCTGGGATTCAAACCCATTAACACTCAGGCATTAAAACTGGCAACTTACCATCAGGTCAGCACAAGAGATGTTTACTAATGTGAGTTAAACTCAAATGTCACCAAGATTTTAACATTGAATGTCTCATCAGGGCACGAGGATTTCCCAGAATCTCAGCTCGATAAAAAAACTCTGGCTCAAATGGGGCAGCAGCAGCGAATCGACCAAATATTCAGGCAAAGTCTATCAATATTATCTCTTAGCAAGTTAACTTAGTTTGATTTTAACTCGAAGTAACCCCTATTCTCTGGAGGAGTCAAGCAGAAGTTTAGGTGAATGCAAAAACACCTTTCTGTATGCCGAGGGTGAAGTCTCGAATATGGAAAGAAAGCCCAAATGTGGGCATATGTTGTGTAGTTTGGGGACTCCAGCAAGGCTTTTAGCATAGTTACTGCATGGAGCCATTTGTTTTGATGTCACTTGATTTGTGATGCATGAGCATAAAGGCAAATAAAAGGAAACATGTTCAGATTTAGTAAGTTGTGGCAGCTAGTTATCATAATCAATGTTTCTAATTTGATAAAAACAGGAACCTGGGCTTAAGCTGTACCATTTCCGTTCATTTGCATGTATGCTCACGCGACACAAATCCAGAATCAGATCCAAATTAACACATCGGAATAATGGAAACTGTCTGATATACTAAAACCAACTGATAACAGATATAATAACGAAAGTACCTGATATACAGAAAAAAATTACGATTGATGCTTAAGAAATCCTATCGATGTACAGAACTATCTCATACAAAAAAACAGAAAACCTACCTGCAAACAACTTAAACAACATGTTAAAGCCTACAAAGCCGTGACACACCAAAGTCTGCCATATCCCTTACAAAGCGCGTGGGATACGGCAACACGCCGGATTCACCAGGGGCGGGTAAACATATCACCAATTATCCCCCGTTTTCTAAATTTAGAAAAAGAAAGAAATAGGTACAAGCCACCAGTACGCCGCGGATACATTCACGACATGGCGGAGGAAGCAGCCCAGTAAAGCCCAAAAAGCAATGCTTCTGAGTGGTCCACTCAATAGGCTCGATATAGGAGATAACAAAAGGGCAGTGGTTTGATCTCACATCTCAAAAGTTATAATTTTGTCGTTATTACATACTATATCTTTTGAATTAACTATGTAGGCTCCCCTTGTCGCCATATGGCCGTTTCTGGAAAACGCCTTAGCCCGTGCCCCCCGTGCCTGCTGTCCGTTGTATTGGCGCTTCTTAGGTCAACGCAGTTACGTCTATGAACAAGCATCATATGTACATAACCTTTGGAGTCATATATCATAAAAAAATGCCTCCACTCTACATAGACTATCCTGCCCCTGCAACTGTGCAAAATTCTAATGGCTTCATTCATGATGGAGATGCAAAACAAAGGATAGAAATTGGATCCATGCAAAACAAGGCATAACACAGAGAATTGGAAGTGTTTGGGGACAGGGATTCGCTGTTATATAACCCCCCGTGTCGCC